GCTTACAATCTTTTTATTCCCGAGGCCTGGGTAACTTGTAGACTGCCACCGCGCTTACTTTTTTCTTTCTACATTCACTCCTGACTGTATGCTACTCAACTAATTTCACATGGGCATTAAAGATATTCCTATGTGGGTTCCTACAAATATATTTTGGGTTAATTCCTTTGGATCCTTAAAATTAGGCCCTTTCAGCCTGTGGCGTAGTGGTTAAGGTGGCTGGACCTCACATGGACAGCTGCACAGTCTCAATCTGGACCTCCGGGATTGAGAAACACTGGGCACATACGCCTGTGAGCCCCCGATGCTGAAAGGAGAGAGGAGTGGAGGGCACTGCACCGGGATCTTTCCCCATGGGAGGTGCTTTTTCTCTCTGGAGAGCATACGTGCACCTTCTGGCAAAATTCAAGGGAAAAAAAATAGGCCCTTAATACTATTTCTACTTCTGTTTCCCTATTTCAGTACATTGTCGACTCTTGTCTTCATAAAATACACCCTTGTCCCTAAACTAAAAGGGCCAATTCCAGATTTTTCAATAGCTTTGAAGGGAATCAGAAGAAAGCCACTATCTCCTGTGAAAAGATCCCTTTGAGATACTTGACAAAGTGCATGTTCTTCAAATCCTAGTTTAAATGTTTCATCTTTTTTTTTTCCTTTGTGAAAGAGAAAATAGGCCTTGCCACATTGTGACCCTCCTTCCCCAGCCCTGCAACATGGAGGGTCTGTGCCCAGGGAACAAGCTCAGGCCTCCTCTGCGACTCCAGCCTCCCACGCTGTGGCACTGTGCACTGCTGTGGTTGAGCCTGAATGCTAGATCTATAGGCGCTTTCACTTATTAGTCCAATTGTTTAGTTTCTGACTTTAGTTGAAATCTTCATTTACATACAATGTATTATTGTTCTCACTCTGTTCTCCCCAGCTCTGGTGAACCACTTGAGCAAAGGGATGAATCAAGTTGGAACTGATTCAAATTCCTCCCCTCCCAGAATAAGAATGTGTTACTTTGTTTCGAACTGTAGGCATTATCAATTAGGTTCTTAATACATATTTTTCTAATAAACTGCAAAAAATGTTTTGTCCAGTCTAACTCTGCTTTTCCTCTGACAGTGTTTACAGTGGAATGAAAAGAGTGGGCTATGATGTGGCAAGATTTACTATACTTAAGCAGCAACTTTGCCCGACTCGGCATGTTAAAAAATAAGGTACGTCATCTTTTTAAAATCAAATGCATCTTTAACTCATGAAATGTATTTTAATTCAACCTTCTTTTTTTTTTTTTTTTTTGGAGAGAGATTTGTTATAGGGTGCATGTGCTCACCAGAGAGACAAAGTGAGAAATCACTCCCCAGGGGGATGGCCATGCCACAGTGGCCACCCTTTTCTCCTCTACTCTCTCAGGATCTGGGGCATGCACACACACACACACCTCTAGCATGAGTTTTAAGCCTCTGTGTCCAGGTCTCGAATGTGTCCAGCAATGTCACCATTACGCCATCTGCTGGTCCTTTCAGCCATCATTTGAGAGTATAAAAATAGTTCACAGACTGTGCTTCAGCTAGGGATTGCCAGCAGCAGTGGGAGATGCTAGGTGTAGGGTCGGAGAGGTACTCGCCCGGCCGTCTCAGCCATGTGGTCATCTTTACTTTATCCAGGAAATGCATTCTGTTGACACCAAAGAAAGCAGGTGGTTGAGCTGGCCCTGTGGCCTAAGGCTTAGGGAGCTGATCCCACATGGTCCACTGCAATGCAAGTCCTGGCCCCAGGGGCTTCAAAAACTTGTCTGCATGTGTGCCCCAAATCCCAAAAGGATGGAAGAAAAGGGACTGCAGCAAGACCATGCCCCGTTAGAGTGTGGGAGGGATTCTCCCTCTCCCTCTCTGTCTCGGCTGAGTGCACACAACCTCTGGCAATATATTTTTTTTAATTAAGTGCTTAAATGCAGGATTCTCTCTAGTATTTGCCTGGAGTCTAATTTAATTACAATGAAACAGCACAGGTTTGTTTAGGCATGTGCAGTTAATAGGCCGTAATGAATTTATTCATATTATAATTAAGGCTTTAGTACTCACATGAAAAGCTCTCCCCTTGTTGCTGCCACAAATGAAGCCATGGGTCTGCCCAGACCTGGGCAGTGATGGGCAGGCTTCTTTACTGCGTGGTTCACAGAGTGTGCCATCGAGGTTGAGTTCTGGAAGGTACTTTCCACAACGTTCTGTAAATGAAGACTTTCTCCCCTTCTTTTTAGGGTCACTCATCTAAAAACGGTACCTTAGCTGTTACAGCCGCTGCTTTCCAGGATCACATCTTACACGATCTCCAGCTTCAAAATCTTTCAGTAGCAGGTCATTGTAAGGCACAAGTACAAAAGAAAGAGAGCAAGCCCAGATCCCTAAAAGGAGAGAGCCAAGCAGTGGTAGATACTGGACGGAAAAAGGCTCCACAGGGCCCCAGGGTGGGCGACCCCGAGAGAGAATACGTTCTCGATCCAGAACCACAGCCGCTGACTTTAGGTAAGCTCTCCTGGTCACTCACATTTGGGCTTCCTAGAAAAAACGAATCTATTTAGGTCAATAGTATGATTTTTATAGTATAGAAATAATAGGTTTTAATTTGTAGTCATACAGATAGGTTTGTATGCACTGAGTTTAAGAATAATGGGGGATAATTTGAGCAAAATAAAGACAGGTATGATAAGTGGAATACAAATAAGTAAAAAGAATAAGAGAAATAATCATTAATCCACACCAATAGGGGTAAATAACTGAATTATGGAAAAGAAAATGTTTTGTTGTGTTTTGTCTTGAGAGATTTTTTGCTATAGAGTACATGTACTCACCAGAGAGACAGTGAGACAGTGAGAAATCACCCCCAGTGGCCACACCGCAATCCCTTCTCCTGCGGCCTCCTTTTAGGATCTTGGGCACACACGCAGATGTTCCTGGCATGAGTTTTAAGCTGCCAGGTCTGGGACTCAAACTGCGATCGACTATGTAGGAGTCCAGTGACGTAACCACTACGCCATCTGCTGGTCCCGGAAGAAACTCTTACGGTAGAATGACAGCTAACAACCCTGGTAGATGGGGTCAGAGAAACTGCTCGTTTAACAAACTTGACAGCGATAACCCAGGAGAAGCGGAGACCAGGGGGGAAACATGCGGTGACACGACATCGTCCCAGCCTCAGGACCTCCCTGTGGGGGCAGACGGCGCGGTGCAGGGCTGCAGGGTAGCACCTGGCAAACAGCGCCTCAGCCACGCCCTCCAAGCTGCCTCAGCAGGACCCCCTCGTGCCTCCTGCTAAAGACACACAGCACTTCTGTGCCGTCCTGGCCAAAAGCGTGTCGGAACTCACTCGTGAGGGGACTCGACCAGTGTGCTCCCGAGTCTGCTCATGACAGGCACAGCCCTAGGGACTGTCTCAGAGAGGGGACGAGGCGGCCTGACGGGCTCAGAAACACGCACACCAGTGAGAAAGGGCGAAATGTGAGTAAGGCATCGAGACTAGGTACTTCATTAATTTCCTGGTTTTGATAGTTACACTAAAGTAAAACGTTAACTCGGGTTTGAAGGCATGTGAGAATTTCTTAGGTTTTTTTTTTAAAGAAAGTATTTAATTTTATTTATTGCTATCATTATTATTACTTTAAATTTGTTATAGGGCATGTATGCTCACCAGAGAGAGACGGGGGGAGGGTTGTGAGAAAGCGAGTTGCCAGGCCTGGGACTAGAACCACGGTCAACCACATGGGAGTCCAGCAGCCTATCCACCCTGCCACCTGCTCGCCCCTCTTTATACAGTTTTAAACAAACTTTTGTGAGGCAGAAGCTGTTTTAAACCGAAAAGCTAGACATAAAGGCGGTGTTTTCTTCAGTAAATGATAGTGAGTGTCCTTGGGAGGGAGGCCTGTGGGTCAGAGTCACCCACGAGGCGGAGGGGAGCCTGACCCACAGCGGTGCCTGCTGGGGACGTTCTGTATTATTTTCCTCTGAGTTTGTCTAACAGTGCTAGCTGTCTTCTAGAAAATGACACGGCTTGAGAGCATGCTGGGGCCTGGAATAACCTTATACAGTAATGTGATGGCCGTCTAAGGTTGTGAGAAGACCATCTAAAACTTCATCATAGTCCGTCTCAAAATTCTGAGAGTAAAGATTTAAACTGGACATCAGGAAGAACTTCCCAATTTGGAAACTAGGGTTATAAAGAAGAAGAAATGAGGATTTTGACCACCGAGGACCCTCTGCCCAGGCTTCACCCTCCTGGTCCCCAGTCTAGCCAGGAGGCCAGTTAGAGTCCCCTGCTTATTCTCTTTCCATTCCTCTCTCTGCTTGTAACGCTTTGTTTTGCATTTTTAAACTTAGCTCTCTACTGCTCTTCTGACTAATTTTTACCTTTCCCCCACCCATACTCAGCAGCCATCAGCAGCCACCTATACTTGAGCTCCAAGTGGCCCCTTTCATGCAGCACACCACGCTGATTTCATTTTTTGACAAAAAAAAATTTCTTACGGTGTTTGTCTTGTTTTATCTCTAATTTGGATTTTTCTTTTCTTTTGAGAGGTTTTTGCTATAGGGTGCGTGCGCTCGCCAGAAAGAGACGGAGACAGAAAGCGAGAAATCACCCCTCAGGGGGGATGGCCATACCACAGTCCCTTCTCCTTCATTCCCCTCTGGGAATCTTGGGCGCGCACGCACACGCACCTGCCGTGAGTTTAAGCCACCAGGTCTGGGACTCAAACCGCAGTCGACTACATGGGGGTCCAGCGACATAGCCATTACGCCAACTACTGGTCCTGGTTTTTTCTATTCCTTTTTCTTTTCTTTTTACCTTTCTCACTTTTCTGCTCAGTCTCCCATACACTGATTTTCTAGACAGGTCTAGGTGCTCAGTAGGCAAATATCTGAATACTTTCAGGGTCAGATTAATCTTCAATTTTCATTCAGTCAGTTGTGCAAAGGGATAAAAATGGTACTGTTTCCAGACTGCAGGTCACTTCTTTTTGCATTCCTCTGACTGCTCAGATTTAACTGCAAAAAATAGGAAAAAGTGTATAATCCATCAGATGACCAGAAACCACCGCAGAAGCACAAGAAATATGAGAAACCAAGAAAATCTCTCTCCTCTAATGGAAAAGAATAACTCTTCTTCCTCCACAAAGAATACGAGGGAACTCCTGGAAGTGTCAGATAAAGAATTTAAATTATTCACAGTGACAAAGGTGACAGAGATGCGAGAGAAGAGAGACAGTGAACTCCAGGAGATGCAGGAGAAAAGAGACAGCAAGTTCCAGAAGGTGAGAAAGGTCTTGCATGATCTGAAAGAGGAGATACACATGAGAAAGAAACAGAATTGTTAGAGATGAAGGCTGCATTACAAGAAATCAAAACTTCCTTTGAAAATTTCAAAAGCATGGGAACCAGCAGTTAGCGTAATGGCTATGTTACTGGACTCCCAAGTAGTCGACTGCGGTTCACGTCCCGGACCTGGTGACTTAAAACTCATGCCGGGCATGTGTGCGTGCATGCC